ATCTATCTATCTATCTATCTATCGATCTATCTATCTATCTATCTAATCTGTTAGAACTGTGTAACTGGTTCAGTGAATGAACAGTTATTTATCTGAAGCTGCAGTGAATCTGATGCTCATGTCTGTCCTGTCACAGATCACCCAGCTGAAGATTGCTTGCAACCCCTTCGCCAAAGGCTTTCGTGCAGCTGATTCTGAAAACAGGTGAACAATTATAGTGTAAAACATTACACCAGAGTCTGTAAGTCCTGAGATCAAACCTGACTGTGGCTGTTTCTGGCTGCATGAAGGACCATCACCTTCAGCTCAACCTTGCAAAGACAGAACTGCTCGTGGTCTCAGCCAAACCATCACAACCTCTCTATACAGCTGGGTTCATCAACCATAACTCCTTCCAGGACAGCTAAGCTTCACAGACCGTAGTGCTACAACGGGCCGGTGCTGCAGGTTTGCCTTATACAACATTAGGAAGATTAGACCCTTCCCATCAGAGCAAGCCACACAACTGCTTGTCCAAGCTCTTGTTCTGTCCAGACTGGACTATTGTCTTCCCGCATGTACTATCAAGCCTCTGCAACTGATCCATAATGCTGCAGCAAGAGTGGTCTTCAACGAGCTGAAGAAAACTCCCGTCACACCTCTCTTCATCAGCTTGCACTGGCTGCCAGTAGCTGCTCGCATCAAATTCAAGGTACTGATGCTTGCCTACAAGACCACCACTGGCGCTGCACCAATATACCTAAACTCGCTAGTTCAGACCTACGCGCCCTCCAGAAGCTTGTGTTCTGCAAGTGAACGACGCCTCGTGGTTCATCCCAAAGAGGCTCAAAATCACTCATGGACCTTTTCCTGGACTGTTCCCAGCTGCTGGAACAACTTCCCGATCTCAATCCCAGCAGCTGAGTCTTTAGCCATTACCAAAAACATCTAAAGACACATCTTTTTCACCAGCACCTGACCAACTAATACTAGCACTTACCTATTCTATTCTATTCTATTCTATGCTATGCTATGCTATTCTGTTCTATTCGCTCTAATTTATTTAAAATTAAAAAACAAAACACCTTGCTATGTGTTTTGTGCTAGACTAACTGAGTTTTGTCACAGCACTTGTATACTGTTGCTCTCTCGTTGGTCTGATTGCTTCTATTGTTTTCATTTGTAAGTCGCTTTGGATAAAAGCATCTGCTAAATTACTAAATGTAAATGTAATGCAATGTAACACGCAGCTCTTCTCATGACATGAAATCTGTACTGTATGGTTATTGTGACTTTCTGTAATGGTTCTGTTATATCTACAGTTGTTCTCTGATTGTAATGAGCATGATTATGCTTTCTGATCTTAGACATTCAGCTCAGTGTCAGACAGAATCTGCCGGCCTGTCTTTGCCGTGGAGTGTGTTTGAGGGATCGTCTGCGTGTGAAGACCAGCGGCTACAACACCAGCCTCACCGTGAGCTCAATGTCACATCTCTAACATTTTGGGGAATATGTAGACGACTCATTGCCGAGGCTGATTTCATAGCTAGCATTGTACATATCCCAAACACACAACAATTAAAAATATATGTTTTCACACTTTTTGAATAATTTGACATTACAAGTGGTTGTAAATGATGAACACGAAAACATTTTCTTTGCATTTTTGTTCATGCATTTCAATGCAAGTTGCAATTTTGCACAAGTTGTCTTTAACTGTAAGCAGTCTCTGTTGTTGAGAAGCCTGAATGTTAATGCACACGCCAGACTCTTTATTTCCGCCTCTGCTTGTCTCTGTTCTTCAGGCCGGTCAGACGCTCATGATCCAGCTCTACAGACAGCGATGACTGAGGCGGCGCTCTCGTACGGAGCAGGGACGGACCGCAGGGACGGAGGGTCTCAGGGCCATTTCTACAGCGCTCCTGTGTTCGTCACGGTGCCCTGCCAGTGGGACGGCCTGAGCAGAGCAGACAGAAGCCTGATCGGATAACCCAGTCTTTATCAGCCTTACACTCTAAACATGTTGTGTCAGGAAATCTAATTCATTCATTCACATTAAATAACATCACCACCACCAACAATAATACTAAATTAAAATCAAATAAATTAATTGAAATGGTCAGGTCAGCTAGAAATAGTTCCTTATGATAACAATATGTTTACAGGTTAGATTTATTACATTATACGTTAATCAAAATAAAGGCTCTGTGTTCTGTGAACTGTATAACTGTTCATGTTCATGCTTACATTAATGCTTTCCGACTACCATGCACATTTTTGTTCTGATATTGATAATAGAAGATGTTTAGAAGATGTATTAAAATACGCATATGGATTGATTTTGGCATGGAGCATTTTGATATAGCATTGCCATTATTTTTGTTTAAATATAAATATGTTTCAAAGACATGTAATCACAATTACATAACACTAAAACTGAACAATACATTTTATGTGTTTTTCCCTTCTTTTTACTCATGCAAGAATCTTGCAATAGCAGTAAAATACTGTGGTAAATGACCATGGTATTCATGCAGCTTAAAGCATTGTGGTATTTCCAGCTGATAATACCACTGTGCCGTGATATCAGTAGCAATGCTGAGGCATGAAAGCACAAAGACACAATTCAAGAATATAAAACTATGTTACCTATGTTACACTGTTATGCAGTACAAGAGGAAAATGGTCTGATGAATAAACTCCAAGCCCCATGATGCATCACTCCAGTGTCTGTGTCAGTGCGCTAGTGTAAGGAGAATCTGATTCATTTAGCGAATCGGCTCGTTTGGGCGTTTCGTTTCAATAGGCTTGTTTGAGATGAGCAAAAGGCTTGTTTGAGATGCGCCTCGCCTCGCCTGAAATGTAGGCGAGAGTAGGCGGCTGCAGTGAGGGGAGGAGTGAAATAAGCGCAGGCAAGACGGACAGTTCTGACCTCTAGAAGTGGAGCAGATACCAACAGATCAAAGACGGATATCGTAATAAAACATTGTAGAAGAGAACCGCAGCATCACAGGTGTCTGAACCAATGAGCATTAAGCTGTGTCGTCAGTCAGTCG